AACCGCTCTGTCAGGAAGTTCTTCCTAATGTTTAGCCGAAAACTCTTCTGATTTAATTTCAACCCGTTGGTTCTGGTCTGACCTTGTGGACCTTCTTCTTCTTATATTCTTATATTCTAGCAGTAGAATAGGAGGGAGGGCTTGTTTTGATTTTTTTTTTTTTCTTTTGCATGCACCAGTGGAAAAGGCTGACATTGTGCTCCATCTTCCATCCACAGAGAAAGGAAAATTTGTCGGGCAGGATATGACTCTTTAACCTATAGGGAAAAGATCCCTTATAAGGCAGGCCGCTGCTTTCCTGGCAACTGGCAGGTGCCCCTATGGAGTCTGCCATTTGATCCGCCTTACTCCCCGAGGTGGCGACAAAACTCAGACACAAACATTCAGTTACACAATCTTTCATGCAAAAACCCAGTGTGCAAATACTTTCCCATAGATTGCCTGCTCTGTCGGCCTTGCAGACGCGCTACTAAATTTAGAAGGCAGCAAAAACTTCTAGGAGCCTGAAGCAGGGGAGGAGGGATAAGAACTCACCTCAGCTGGCAGTTGAGTCTCAGCCCTCAGCTTCGGTCCTGCTTTTGTCTGCTGCCAAAAATCTCTCCAGGTCTCAGTAGAACCGCCAATTCTGTTAGGAGAATTTTCAAAACTCTAGTATACCTAACTCCCCCCCCCCCTTTCCAAGTTCTATCTGGGAGTGAAAAGATCCACTTAGGGCTTTTTTGCTAACATAGCAGGCAGTTTTTTAAGAATGATTATTCTGATACCAAGGTTCAAAGTTCTTCTTTTGTAGGATAAAACAGGCAAAAGGTCAGGGTCAGGTATTTGGAAAAGAGTTCAACCATTTCTTAAACATGATTTACTCTGCCCTCTTTAGAGTATATTCTATATACCATAAGGAAAACCATATATTTCCATATATATATGCCATACCATATATTCCATACATATATACCATAAGAAAATACCATATATTTCCATAAGGAAAACAAGCCTTTTACACTGCTCCCTGAAAGATAAGAATGGCACCAACCCTTGACTGAGATATGGTCGCTTAGAGATCAGGGGGTTAAAAAACAGATTTATGGGGAGGAGGGGATTAGGGGGGACTATAACATCTTTAAAATGCAGCAAATCAATCCACAAGATAACAGACCAGTCTTCAGGCTCACTAATCAAAGTTATTGCAGAGATCTCAAACCTTTGCTAAATTTTTAATGGTGAAATAAAATTAACACTTATGGAATTCACTTTCACAAAATACAGTAATGGCAGCTGTCTTAAATTACTTCACGGAGGTGCTGGATGAACTCATGAAGTAATCTGTGGCTGCTAGCCCTGATGTCTCTGTGTGGGGGAACCTTCATGACCTTCCGTCAATGTCTGGTTGGCCACTGTGAGAAACAGGATGCTGGCCTATGTGTCTATGGTCTGATCTTGCAGGGTCCTTGTGGTCTGTTACTCATAAAAGAACTTTTAAACTGATATTTTCCCTCCACAAGCTTCAGTTTAAGCGATACTGTTTGAGTCAAACATCAATATATCTAATTCTCAACACAGCCACATCTGTGGATACTTCTATCCAGAGATTGAAGCCATGAACAGACAGAGCAGATCTTTCTATGAGCCTGAGGAAAACCCCCAGTCTTGCAGAAAAATCTGAAATCTGAGGGAAAAAATACATTAGGGGATGAAAAGCCCCCAAAATAATAGAGCCTGGGCCTGCAGCTTTAAATAATGCATGCCCTCAGTGGCAGTTGCTAAGCAACCACATTGGTTTCTGTCGTTAAAAAGAAGTCTGAGGTGGCAGTTCCCTTCCCATGGCTGTTTTGGCCTTTGAGGGAAAACCCGTGATATCCAGATTCTTCATTTTGCCAATTTCTCAGCCTCACACATGGGAATTCTTGTTTTTTTCTTTTGCCTCTTCAGGGCTCGGAACTATGCTGGAGGCTACAAGGAGTGGTCAGAGAAAGAAGGAAAGTGAGGTGTGAAGGGATCCAGGCTCCGTTATGGCAGACTTCAGACTCCAGGAAAGCTGGTGGCTTGCCTTGTCCTGAAGATTCATCAGCTGCTCTTTCCATTCTCTCATGCCAAAATGGGATGTCCAAGATTTTGCTGGGCCCCTTGACTGAACTGCAGAGCCTCCTTGGAGCTAGAGATCACCAGGATTGGTTCTACTTTTCCTGCCCCCCCCTCCCTCCAGAAATTATGCTGGGGACTGCGTAGGCCAAGACTTGGGTATTTTCAGTAGTGGCTCCATTGCTAGGAACACTCCCCGAGGAGGGTGGGCCACCACCTTAAGATATTATGGCGTGTGAAATTCTTCCAATAGATTCAAATGCTTTAAAGACCATAAGATGAAATTCAGTATGTATTGCTCTTTATTATAATTAAACAAGCTCCCTCTTGAGATCAGGGCCCTGCGGGATTTGGTACAATTCGGCAGGGCCTGTGAGACAGAGCTGTTCTGCCGGGCCTTCGGATGAGACGGTGGACATCCAAATCTTTCTCGGCCTCCCCTGTTGACAACGCTGGCCAAATGGATCCAGCTCAAGCTGAGCATCGCTATCGAGGCGAGTCCACCCTCTCTTGTGTTTGGGTTGTGTTTTATGAGAAATATGGTTTTTTAACTACCTGATGATATTGTTACTTTGTGATTTGTAACCCGCTGTGAGCCCACTTGCGGGGAGGTTGGGCTAAAAAAATTAATATGTCTCTGCTGTCACTTGATGTTGATTTTTATTTTAAACATGCTAACATTCTTCCAGTTTGGTATAGTGGTTAAGTGTGCGGACTCTAATCTGGGAGAACCGGGTTTGATTCCCCACTCCTCCACGTGCACTTACTGATGTGACCTTGGGTCAGTCACAAGCTCTGGCACAGCTGTCCTTGGAAAAGAGCAGTTTGTGTCAGAGTTCTCTCAGCCCCACCCACCTCACAGGGTGTCTGTTGTGGGGAGGGGAAGGGAAAGGAGTTTGTAAGCCGCTCTGAGACTCCCTTGGTTAGTGAAGGGCAGGGTATAAAACCAATCTCCTCCTCCTCCCCCTCCTTTTTGGAATTTCTGTACTGTACAACAGGGGACCTGCAAGAGTCAGGGGGGATTCTTCCCAAGTCCACCCAGTCACTGCTTTGCCTCAGTGGCAAGGCACGTCCCTCCCCCATCCCACCCAAATGCAACTGAGCCATGGCCGCACAACATGGCCCCCCACCATTGTCGCCACTGCTGTTGAGTCGCGAACCCGGTGTCGAGCAGAATGGGGCTGAGAGTTGCTGCAGCGAAGCTGGGGAGCGGCACTGGCCTGGCGCTGCACCATTCCTGGCCTGGGCCACCAGTCCCCGTGCAGCTCTCGGCTTCTGCCACCAGGCCCAGCCTGTGCTCTGGGTACAGAGGCAGCTCCCAGCCTGCACTGCCAGTCCCAGCGCCGCTCCATGAATGTGCACGGGTAACCACACCGGGCTGGTGGTGGGAACAGTGAGAAGTCAGGTATCCCAGTGGTAAAGATTGGGGGGGGGGGCATCTGCCTTCCACCATGGTGCCGCCCCACCCCACCCACCTGCAGTTGACTGCCACCTAGTGATGGTGAGGAGGTTGGGAATTGTGGTGCTTATTTTCCATGGGCCCCCGGGAGCCTCACGTGGCTGCTGCTGCTCCCAGCCCTAAAGCTCCTGGCAGCCCAGACAGACCTCATTCCTCTGGTAGTGGCGGCACATGCTCCATGCGGCTTGGCTGTTTTTCCTCTGGATGGGCTGTCGGCAGCGTCCCTCCACCATCCAGATCCTGCAGGGGCCATCCGAATGGGAGGGGCAGTGGAGGTTCTCCCCGCTGGCCGGCCTGCCCGCTCCCACGCCGGCCAGGAACAGAAGGAGCGACGCAGCAGTGTTCCCTCTAAGCTGAGTTAGTGTGAGCTAGCTCACAGTTTTTTAGCCTCCAGCTCACACATTTTAGTCTCAGCTCAGGAAGGATGGCTCCAGGGTAAACTGATTTATGCAGGAACCAAATTGCTCGCTCACAACTTTAATGCCAGGCGCTCACAACACTCCACAGCTTAGAGGGAGCATTGCTACGCAGGGCCAGTGACATGAGGAAGAAGAGGAGGAGGAGGAGGAGGATTTATATATCCCGCCCTTCCAGATTTTTCTCCAAACCTGGAGGAGTGGTCCCATATCGTTACTATTAGAATATAAGGTGTTGCTTACAGACAGGTGAGAAGCGCATTTTAAAAGTGAAAAAAGGAAGGGTAGCTTCGGAGTATCTATGAGCCACGCATCCATCTGTCTCAGCATCGTCTACTCGGCTGGGGCTGTGCAGGCTCTCAGGCAGGCAAATGTCTTTCCCACTCACCACCTGCTACCTGAGAGCTTCTTAAACCAGAAATGCCAGGACAATTAGACCTTCTTCATTCACAGTATGTGGTCCACTGCTGAGCTATGGGCCTACCCAGGACCAGCAGTAGGTTTAGAACAGATAAAAAGAGAAGTACTTCTTCACCCAAAGAGTAATTAACATGTGGAATTCACTGCCAGAAGAAGTGGTGGTGGCTACAAGCATAGACAGCTTTAAGAGGGGACTGGAAAAACATATGGAGCAAAGGAAAAACATATGGAGCTATTAGCCACAAGGTATAGATGGTGGTTAAGTTAAGCCATGGTGGCTCAGTGGTTAAGATGCTGAACTGCAGACTGGAAGGCCCAGTAGTTCAGCAGTTTGAGACACGAGTGTTGCGTGATGGAGTGAGCTCCCATCTCTGGCCCCAGCTCCTGCCAACCGAGCAGTTTGAAAGCAAGAAATTGCAAGTAAATAGGTACCACTTCAGTGGGAAGGTAACAGCGTTCCATGCACCTTGGTGTCTAGTTACGCCAGCCACATGACCACAGAGATGTCTTCAGACAGCACTGGCTCTTCGGCTTGGAAATTGAGATGAGCACCACACCCTAGAGTCGAATTCGACTGGCTTTCAAGCAAGGAAAACCATTACTATAGATAGAGCACTGTGTCTGGGGCACGGATGCTCTGTATTCTTGGTGCTTGGGGGGCCACAGCGGGAGGGCTTCTGGAGATCTTGCCTGGCTGATGGACCTCCTGATGACACCTGGGTTTTGGCCACTGTGTGACACAGAGTCCATTGATCTGATCAAGCAATTTCTGCCTGAACCACCTTTTAACGGGGGGGGGGGGGGGGAAAAAAACAAGAAGGGAGGGGCCATGGCTCAGTGGTAGAGCATCTGCTTACCATGTAGAAGGTCCCACGTTCAATCCCCAGCATCTCCCGTTTAAAGGCTGTGAAAGACCTCTGCCTGAGACCTTGGAAAGCCGCTGCCAGTCTTGAGTAGATAATACTGACCTTCATGGACTAACTAGGAATAAGGCTCGCTATGGAAAGAAATCCAACGGGATCTAGTAAGAGGGATGTACTAAAAGGAATGACAGGATTGCTCATTGGAAACAATGGGAGAGACGTGAAGGCCTACTGGAAATAATGGGAGCCTGCCAATTGATTCCCATGGGCTCCATTGAAATACATTACAGCTCAAGAAGAGTTGCAAAGCAAATGTGGAATGGATTTCCCAGTAAGATCTCTGGTCTCAAACGCACTGTTCTGGAAGTGGAATGACAGACCCCAGAGTGGAATGACAGCCCCTGGGGGAGGCAGCAGTGTTCTTGGGCTCCTAGTACTAACATAAAGCTGAGTCAGAGTAGTCAAGCTAGTCCAGTATCAGTAGCGAACACCAGGTGGCAATACTCTGAAGTCAGAGATCGAGAGGTCATTCCCGGCTTTTGTTTCTGAGAGCCTTTGATCGGGGAGGACCAAAAGGATTGAACTGGAGCCCTTCTGTATGCAGAGTAAGCTGTACTCTGTCACTGAGGGCCAAGCTAGACATCACATCATCCACAGGTCCAACCTGTGAGTACCGACCGGACACCATTTTAGAGCTGTACTCAGCCAATGAAAAATGCCGCAATCCGCAGTGCTCTTGTCCCCCCCACTCCACCGGAGCATCTTTTCAAGTGTCAAAACAGCTGCCGGTGCCATAAAGTCTAGTTTGGCCCTAAACTACAGACATTTTTGATGAACACAGGAAACTTCATCTACCCAGCTCAACTATAATTCCAGCTAGTCTGCATCATTTTCTCTGATGGGCAACAGAGAAAAGGTATTTCCCCACATCCTTGAGAAGATAGCAAGGTTTGAACCTGGGACCTTCCACAGGCAATGTGGATGCACTGCTGCTGAGCCAGGACCCCTCCTGGATAGATAAGTGTGGAGAATCTAAAAGGAGCCCAGATTAGCCACATGCTGATTCCCCAGGCACCCCTCTTATGAGGAATGGGGGACCAGCACAGAAGCCGGCCTGGGAGAAGTGCTGGAAGACAAGCAGGCCAATGGCACCAAAGAGCACTAGCTGAGCCAACATACCTCCGTCTATTCCAAACCGTGCCATTTGGGGCTGCTGCTGTTCCTTGGCATCCATTGCTTGTGTAGTTGCCCTCCTGGGTAGCAGATGTTGCCTGGTAGCAGCAATGCCCTCTTCTCCTTCTGAGGGAGGCAGGGGCAGTTCCCAGCCTATACTCCTGAGAAAGAAGAAGAGTTGGTTCTTATGCCCCACTTTTCACTACCTGAGGGAGTCTCAGAGCAGCTTATAATCGCCTTCCATCCCTCTCCCCACAACAGACACCCTGTGAGGCAGGTGGGGCTGGGAGAGCTCTGAGAGAACTGCCACTGGCCCAAGGTCAACCAGCTGGCTGCATTTGGAGGAGTGGGGAATCAAACCCGGTTTTTCAGATTAAAGCCCGCCGCTCTTAACCACTACACTAACTGGGAAGAGCAACTGATGCCCGCCCAAGCCACATCATGGATGATGAGAGGGAAAAGGAGGAGGCTAAGGTGGGGCGTAACTGCAAGGATGGGACAGACCTAGAGGAGGATAAATCCCCCGAGGTGAAATTGGGGAAAGGGTAGCTGAAAGCCATTTCCTGGGCTAGGTGGGCTGAACAAAAGTGACTTATCAAGAGTGGTGGGTGTGCTGGCCCCAGTCAGCGTTATCTGTAGTTTAGTAAAACTGCTCTGTATCTTTAAGACTTGTTGCACCTGGGAATTGGAGTCCACAGTTAGGGGTCCCAGAAGCTTCCCTCTGACTGGCTCATTAAGAGTAATTTCCTGAGCTCAGAGGCGCAAAGATAGGAGTTTTATTGGTCTTTTCCGTTTCTTTGTCCATCAACCCTTACTGCAAGGAGAGGGGACGCCCATCTCTTTCTCACCACGGCTATAGAACTGACCTAGATCACAAGATGTAACTTTCCACCCAGCTATCTGGTTGAATGTGAGTAAATGATCTTCTGAATGCGTGTGAAGTTAAATAAAGATGATTTAAGCTCTCCTCAGTGGCCGTGCATTGACTCACACCTAGAGAGCGTTGGCTTAGCACAGCTTGCGCTGGACAGGACAGTGGGTCTTCAGCAACTACTTGGGGATGCTGGACCCAGGCCTGATATGAGGATGGTTCTGAAGCAGAAAGGCAGCTGAATGGGAACTGCAGCTGATGACACACACCCCCCCCCCAAGGTGGGGAGAATTTCATACAATAGAAACAAAATAGTGCACACATCTCAGAAGTGGGAGAAAGTTTGCAACTGTGGATATATTTACATTTAGTTGACTTCCCACCATTCAAAAAGATACCTTTACACATCTGCTATTTTGACATTTATTGCTTTACAACTGTTGACCTTATATAAACCTTGCAC